TATTCTCAGCTTTTTATCTCAGCAGTTTTAGGTGGGGTCTTCTGGAGTGTGATGCTCCATACTCTGGACTGGATTGAGAGAGGTAATATCATAGGCAGATTTCCTGGAGGCAGGGTATAGGTCTAGGTGGACTCCCGCATCTTTGCTGAATACCAATTTGTCTGGAGATTTTAAACCAGCACACCTCCAGTGTCCAGTGCTTTCTGGTCCATGATGGAGGACTTTACCCTAGGGCTTTCCTGGGTTCCATTCTTGTGGTGGGGGAGCCAATTTTTAGTACCCTATAGTCGCCTGCAGCCCCTACGTTTCCTGGTCTTGGGTTCAGTCTCCAAACAATTTCTCCTTTCCCTGCCCTTCTGAGTGTGTCTCTGGCCAGATGTGACTCTCACAGCCAGTCCTGCAAGCAGTTGGGTTGGAGGGGTAGGAGTAGAACTGGGTGGGTTTCCATGACCAGTATTCCCTTGTGTAAACCTGTCTCCATGTTTGATTTTCTTTGGGTCACTTAAGCACACTCTATATGATGCAGTGTATGTTTGCTGGGCTTGTAGTTTGGGCCAAACTTGGGTTTTCCAGGAATTGGCTTCCTCAGTAACCAGTCCCTGTGCTGTAGCTGCAAAATGGTTCCTTCCTTTACCCTCTGAATACCACCTGGAGAGATGGTGGCTTCTTTCCCCACACTCAGATATCATGTAGCACAAAATATGTGGGTTCCTTTAATTCCCTTTTCCCTCTACTATGCTCATGGAGGGATGTCTCTGGCTGTAGTGTGCAGCCCAGCTGTGCCACTGGGGATTTTTTCCTTATTTTATTATGTCCAACTTCTTGTACCCCAATCTGCTTTGAATGTCCAGTTTCAGCTTCCAGTAAAGTATCCTCCTCCTTTTTATTTGTTCATCAACCTTGTGGAGAAGCTGCCTGTCTGCTTTCCTGGTTTCACCCAATGGAGCAGCCAGGAACATAACCTCTATTCAGCCATCTTGGATCACCCCTCCCATATATTCTTTTAGTAATTTTAAAATTTAGGTTTCAGAATGGCATACTTATTTAGTTAATGTTTTCATTAGCTTACTTTTGAAAATGGAATAATAAACACAGATTCAAAATTAATACAATGACCTTCACACCCTCCCAATTGGCATTTCTGTACATTAGATTGACAAAGCCACTGAAGTAGTTTGGAAGATATACAACCCTCCGCTATTCCTCCACAGGATACAAAGATGACTCATCTGAGTCTGGTGAGTTACTTATTAAATTAAATCAAATCCTATCATGTTTTCAGCATATTATAATGATACATTTCAAGAGATGTAGTACTCAATGTGAAAAGCATCTATAGTCAACTACATGGGCTGCTTTAAATCAAAGTCATCATCATTTATTGCATTTTAAGACATTGTTGTGGTTTCTCACTCCTTACCAAGGGTAGGATCCCAAATTAAGAGATTTTAGCATTATTCCAAAGAGAGATATAGATAGATGCAGAGATAGAGAACTATTTCTGTTATAAACAGGTATATATCTACAACTGTATCTCTCCTTCTAATACACAGAAATCTTACTTCCACACAGAACTTCCTTCTCAAGATTATATTACTGATTTCTATCAATATTGAGAACAGACAGTGGACCCAAGAGACCCATGAGCATCCATAGCTCTGCAGATCTACTTACCTTCAAACATAGGAGGGGTCAGATCTACTGCAGCTTGTCATAGTCACTATCACCTGAAGCATGGGCATTGAGGCCTAGACCCATCATTCAACTGATGCTTCCTCTCTTGGTGCTGTGCCCCTTCATCCCACCACCATATACAGTAGACCAAAGAGTGGTTACTTGGGAAAACATGAGTGGTATCTACTGGCTTGGACAAGGTTCCCAATGTAAGTTTGGGAATATAACAAAATGGTTCAATGTAAGAAATGGGTATGTTTTCATCAACAGGAATGACACCAAAGGCAATGTACCAGGCTGACATCAAGAAGAATAACACTAGGATGTGCCTTCATGTTTGTGTCAGCTTTTTGTTACTATGTCCCAAATACTTGAACAAGAACAACTAAGAGTAGGAAGATTTATTCTGGCTTATGATTTCACAAGTTTCAGTCCATTGCATGTCCACTCCATTCCTTTGGGCTTGAGTGAGACAGAACATCATGGTGAAGGGCATGGTGGAGGAAAGCTGCTCATCTCATGGCAACCAGAAAGGAGAGAGGGGGAGGGGAGAGGAGAGGACAAAGAGGGAGGGGAGGGCTAGGGCATAAGAGATACCCTGAAAGAGCATGCTCAGGTGACCTTCTTCTCCCAACTTGGTCCTACATTGTAAAATTTTCCACTGCCTCATTCCAATAATGCCACCAATTTATTAATCCAATGTTGCTGCATTGCATAATGAGGCTTCAACCCTCTTGTGCAGGGAGAAGTGCTAGAGGCTGATGACAAGCAGGCTGCAGGAAAGCAAGATGAAAGAGTGAGACAGAACATCTGGTGGAGTTGTAGGCCACAGTCCACAGGGACCCTTCTCACTGAGATGGCCTAGGGAGGACAGCAATGAAGAGGACAGAGAAAACCAAGGAAATGAGATCCAAGGTCAGCTGCCACTTCATCAGGAGTAACTTAGTAATGAAACTACAGCTTCATTTACCTACACAAATACCAGAAAATCCTAAACCATGTAATGGCAAAAAGATAAGAGCTACTTATCCATTAGCTGAGTATTTATCAGCCCCATAGGCTGAGCAGGAAAGGCTAGTGAATGCCAGAAGACATCTCTAAATTCTTCTAGTTTAGTCATCCAACAAGAAGAAATGAAGATGGAACTGCAGCAATAAGAAATGACAAAATATCAATGCTGAAGACCTTAAGTGCTTGCTTTTGGTTTATTGACTAGAAAACTAGAATTATATGGCATTGTCTGTTCAGCATAATTTAAAAAATTATTTTGACTTGGGGGGATAGGGAAGAATGAAGAAACTTTGGTTTGTGTAGAGGGGAGTGAGGGGAAGGATGGGGTTGTGGGGATGAGAATGTCTGTAGAATGAGACAGTCATTGTTACCCTATATACATGTATGATTATACTATTGGAATGACTCACCAGGTATAGCCAGAGGAATGAGAAGTTGTGTTCCATTTGTGAAAATATGTCAAAATGCATTTTACTGTAAAATTTAAAAAATATTTTTTATAAAGATGTCTCTTTTTCATAATGAAAAGAAGGTTTTTCTTTTTAAAAAGCCTGTTTTTTGCCTCAATATACACTAATTTTTTAAAAATATTTCAAATCTTGGTCAAGTTGATATTTTTAAGAATTTTATTTTTAGTTTGTAAAGGACCTTATTTTGGTTTGTTTTTTTGCAATACTAGGGATTAAACCCAGGCTTCACACATCTTAGGCAAGTTGCTGTTTTGTTGCAATACAAACTTGAGAACATCCCAAATGTCCTCCTATTAGTGAATGGATAACCAATATGTGGTACAACTCTGTACAACATGGAACAGAGTATTGATTCACAGAATATGGATACATCTCAAAAAATACACTGTCAAAGGAGTCAGACTCAAAAGTTTACACACTGTGATTCCATTTACCTAGTATTATGTAAGAGCTAAAACTATACTGGCAGAGAACACAGCATTGGTCCCCAGTACTGGGGCAGGGGGAATGATTTTATTAAAAAGCAAATTATAACAGTGTTTTGGGGTGTGGAGAATGCATATTATCCTGTTGGCAGTGATGATTACATGAGTCTATATATATTTCAAATCTCATAGCAAACAGGTCAATTATACTGTTCATAAATTTTAAAAAGATTTTTCAAGTGATATAAATAAAAATAGATTCAGTCAAAAATTAAGGATAATTCAATGTTAAGGTGAAAACACTGTGCTAGACTTTTGTCTTCACTTTCCCCAGAATCTAAAGAAACCAAAGCAGTAAGAGTCTTGGTCCCAATCACATTAGGGTTCTGTTAATGATGCTAGACACTGAAAACTTTGATAATGATAAAAACAAAATCCAGTCATATGAGTATAAACATACAGGCAAAGCCTTTATTGGGACAACCACATGGGAAGGGAGACATAGCTTCAACAAGCAAATGTCAGGGGCCAGCGTGCTTGCACATGACTATATTCCCAGCAACTCAGGAAGCTGAGGCAGGAGGTTCACAAATTTGAGTTGAGGCCAGCTTCAGTAACTTAGCAAGACCCTGAGCAACTTGGCAAGATCCTCTCTCAAAACAAAAAATAAAAAGGGCTGGGTAGTGGCTCAGGGGTAAAAGACCACTAGGTCAAATTTCCAGCACCTCCCACCCCAAAAGCGGCAGGCTGGCTTGCTGAAACAGAAGGAGCTAGGTTTCTTGACGTCTTTCAAGAGTGGACTGGAGTCTAGGATGTGAATTGAATTTAGGTGTACTCTAATTTAAACATCTTTAAACGGTGAGATGGATGAACTAAGTGAGAGAACAAGTAGCAAGTTAAGGGCCTGGGAATTTTCCATTTTAGCGTCTCCTCCATTAGCATTTTAAAACACAATATGGTTATGTAGTAACATAGTATAGTTTTAGCTCTCACATAATGCTAGGTAAATGGAATCACAGCGTTATCCTTCTAGTATTGGAAGAGATACGGCAAGGTCACCCTAGCTCTCTGTAAAGCATGTGGCAAGACCATTTGAAAGTGAATAAATGAAGCACATTTGGTATCTGACAAATTGTGGGTTAAGCTGGGACTTTTTAATGGCTATCAAGGCATGTGCAAGGCCCAAGAGTTCATTTACTTTTTGTACCTGTGGTGGTCTCCAACTATCCCACTGGTAAGTTCAACAATAATGAAAGCTGGGTAGTCAATTACCATTCTCTATATCTCTCCATTTTGTAGTACTAAAGTACAAATATTCATGATCTCTGTGACAGATGTGTTACTATATAAACATATTGTGTTTTAAAATGCTAAATAAAACATGTGTGTATTAGTTTTAAAAATTCAGCAATGCGAGAGTAATGTTACAGAGCGGAGAGAGTGAGGAGGCTGCGTCTGGCTCCCGCTCTCACAGCCATTGCAGTACATTGAGCTCCATAGAGACAGCGCCGGGGCAAGTGAGAGCCGGACGGGCACTGGGCGACTCTGTGCCTCGCTGAGGAAAAATAACTAAACATGGGCAAAGGAGATCCTAAGAAGCCGAGAGGCAAAATGTCATCATATGCATTCTTTGTGCAAACTTGCCGGGAGGAGCACAAGAAGAAGCACCCAGATGCTTCAGTCAACTTCTCAGAGTTTTCTAAGAAGTGCTCAGAGAGGTGGAAGACCATGTCTGCTAAAGAGAAAGGAAAATTTGAAGACATGGCAAAGGCGGACAAGGCCCGTTATGAAAGAGAAATGAAAACCTATATCCCTCCTAAAGGGGAAACAAAAAAGAAGTTCAAGGATCCCAATGCACCCAAGAGGCCTCCGTCGGCCTTCTTCTTGTTCTGTTCTGAGTATCGCCCCAAAATCAAGGGAGAACATCCTGGCCTATCCATTGGTGATGTTGCAAAGAAACTGGGAGAGATGTGGAATAACACTGCTGCAGATGATAAGCAGCCTTATGAAAAGAAAGCTGCCAAGCTGAAGGAAAAATACGAAAAGGATATTGCTGCCTACCGAGCTAAAGGAAAACCTGATGCAGCAAAAAAGGGAGTTGTCAAGGCTGAAAAAAGCAAGAAAAAGAAGGAAGAGGAGGAAGATGAGGAAGATGAAGAGGATGAGGAGGAAGAGGAAGATGAAGAAGATGAAGATGAAGAAGAAGATGATGATGATGAATAAGTTGGTTCTAGCGCAGTTTTTTTTTTCTTGTCTATAAAGCATTTAACCCCCCTGTACACAACTCACTCCTTTTAAAGAAAAAAATTGAAATGTAAGGCTGTGTAAGATTTGTTTTTAAACTGTACAGTGTCTTTTTTTGTATAGTTAACACACTACCGAATGTGTCTTTAGATAGCCCTGTCCTGGTGGTATTTTCAATAGCCACTAACCTTGCCTGGTACAGTATGGGGGTTGTAAATTGGCATGGAAATTTAAAGCAGGTTCTTGTTGGTGCACAGCACAAATTAGTTATATATGGGGACGGTAGTTTTTCATCTTCAGTTGTCTCTGATGCAGCTTATACGAAATAATTGTTGTTCTGTTAACTGAATACCACTCTGTAATTGCAAAAAAAAAAGTTGCAGCTGTTTTGTTGACATTCTGAATGCTTCTAAGTAAATACAATTTTTTTTATTAAAAAAAAAAGAAAAAAAAAAAAAAATTCAGCAATGCAGTCTTAGTTTGTTTTCTGTTTCTATAACAGAATACCTGAGACTGAGTAATTTATAAAAAAAAAGCAGGTTTATTTAGCTCCCAGTTCTGCAAGCTAGAAAGTCCAAGCATGGCACTGGCAACTATCTGCTCAGATCTGGTGAAGGTTTCATACTGCTTCAACTCTTGGCAGAGAGACTGCAAATTAAATTTATCCATATGACCAACAAAGGTCACAACCTCTGCAGAAACTTGTTGATGGATTTAAAAAGACACCAACTTTTGATTACAATGTTCCTCAAAAAATTTTGGTTTAAAAAAACAAAAAGAAGCTTTCAACCATTAGGGATCTCCAACCATTCACATTACCTTCTTCTGACATTCAACCATTAATATCATCATGACTGGATGGTCCATGATCAACCAAAGTAGATGATCTTTCCAGTTTCAAGTTAAAAGTAATTCATTAGTTCGGAGAGTTCCAAGATGGTAGAATACAGAAGGTTACTTTTCAGGATGCTATGTAATATAAAACCAAGAAAGCAAATGGGCAGCTTCTCAGCAAGTTGGATGACTAAAAAAAGGGGTGGGGTTATTAGAATTTAATTCTGAATATTCAAAGCAGATCAGGAATGGAGGAGGTCGGATATAATGAGGAAGAAATCCCTAGGTCCACTGCTGCTTCCCTGGCCAGAGCACCAGAAGAATGGTCACTGGGTGAGCAAAGTAGAGAGACAAGGGAATCAAAGGAATCCACATTTTTAGGAGTTTGGGGGCATGTCTGGGTATGGTGAGTTTAGAGATCAAAGACACTGATCAACTAAACTGAAAAGTGTGCAGCACAATATCCTTGTGTGGGAAAGAAGCCATCATCTCTATATGTTGTGTGCAGAGGATAGAGGAAGGAACAATTTTGCAGCCACAGCACAGGGGCAGAAGGTGGGGGAGCTAATTCTTGGCAAACTTCAGTTTAGCCCAAAATACAGGCCTAGAAAACTCACACTGCATGACATAGAGTATGCTTAAGTGACCTGGAGAAAATTAAATGTGAAAAGAAGTTTACACAGGGAACTACTGGTCATGGAAACCAATCCATCTCTACCCCTTCCCCTTCAATATGACTGCTTGCAGGACCAGCTGGGAGAGGTGCACCTTGCCAGGAACTCAAATGGGAGAAGTGGGAGAGATTGTATTGGGAGACCAAACCTGAGACCAGGATATGAGGGGAGTGCAGGAGACATCCTTTGACTAAGAACTGGCTCCTCAACCACATGAGTGGAACCCAGGGGAGATCCCTGGGATGCAGTGTTTCAGTGTGAACCAGCAATTTCTGGGCTCTGAAGGTGTGCTGATTTAAAGTCTCCAGACCAACTGGCATTCAGCAAAGAGCCTGGAGCCTACCTAAACCTAAACCCCACCTCCAGGATTCTGCCTACAGGATTATGTATCTCATCCCAGCAGCCTTACCCAACATTGCTGGGAAAGAAAACTGAAAATCTTTTGAATTTCAATGGACACAATTTTTAAACATTTTATTAAATTTTTTCTTATTTCTTTTCTTTGTATAAAATAAGGAGATAAGACCAGGCACTCACATCACATGAGAGGGCCCAAAAAGAGATCCTTGAGATGCAGTCTCCTTTTGGGGATGGACAGGTGCCACACCCCACTTCTACATGCCCTCCACTCAGGACCAACCCTCCCACCCTGGTTACTTTCACCATCTTGAGGGCAGAGACACCAGCTAACAACAGAAGAACCTATTGGATGAGAAGAGAAGCAGGAAAGATACTGATCTCCAACCAAAACAATCCTTGTTTCTTCCTTTGAGAATTTTTTTTCTTCTCCCTCTCTATTCACCCGCCCTCACATCCCCAACATATGTGAAACCAAGTACTTTGCATGAATTAGAATACTCAGGACTGGGATGACTGAATAGTATATCACAGTTGTGTTTTATATTCATTTTTTTCTTTTTCTTTTTTTCTCCAGTTTTTACTATTTCAACATTTTAAAAATTTTCTTAATATATATGTATGTTTGTTTTATGTACTCTTCTCTCTTCCCACCTACTTGTCTACCTAAAATTACTTCTTCTCTATTTTCCTGCTACTATCCTTCTTCTTTAGATTCCTCTTTCACACTTCCTAAGATATAATAACTCTATATTCTCACCTTCTACCTCCTCAGCCTATCTTCCCTCACCTCACCCCCAGTTCTTTGTCCACCATCAGAAACTGAAAACCCTTTTACAAACCTGCTGATTATATTGTAGATCATAATTGAATTCACCATTTCTGTACAGTGTGATAATTTCTCAATAATAACATTGACTATTAATGGCCTAAACTCATCAATCAAAAGACATAGACTGGCAGATTGGATTAAAAAACAAGACCCAACAATATGGTGTCTCTAAGACACTCACTTTATAGGCAAAGACATCCACAGACTGAAGGTAAAAGTGTGGGCAAAAAACATGTGACTCACATGGATCAGTTTCTATCCTCATATCAAATAAAGTGTACTTCAAAGCCAAAGTTAATTATAATGGAGAAAGAAGCCCATCTTTGATTTTTAGCAACGTTTAGCTATTCTATTTCTTTTCTATTTCATATATTTCTGCTCCTACTCTTATCTTTTCCTTCCCACTACCTAACTGAAAACAATTTGATTGTTAATTTAGTTTCTTTCTGATACAAATATTTTAAGTTATAAATGTTTATCTGAGTACTATTTCAATTCAGGTATTATTATATTTTAAGGTGTTATTATCACTTAATTCAAACCACTTTTTACTTACTTTTCTTGTGTTCTCTTCTTTCACCTGTGAGATGTCTATAAGTGTGCCATTTAATTTTGAAGTAGTTGGGATGTGGGGGTGGGGTTCTACATATCTTGTGGTAATTGATTTCTAAAGTAATAAATCATGGAGAAAACATAGTCTGCATGATTTGAAATGAAAAAAATAATGGAAATATTTTTTATATTGATTGTATTGGATACACATGTGTTGAAACATGTCAAAACTGATCAAACTGCATACTTCAAATACATGCATTTTATTGTATTTCAATTTTATCTCAATAAATCTATGTAAAAAACAATACATTAGTGACAATTAATACTAAATACTATTTCTAGAAACATAACAATGGTAAGATGTTCTGTGTGCTTTGTAGTTATTTCTACAACATCTGTGTATTACAAAACATATTTATCACTAAATGGATGGTTAAGCAAATAATGTGAAAAGCTGCACTTGTGTTTCAGGTGGATCAAGTTACTCATTTAAACACACAGGAGTGCACATTCACATACACACACACACACACACACACACACAATCTCCCAAACTGTATTCCTTTGGACTAGGTAGATATGTATAGAGATATGCACTTGGAATGTAGGTTTCCAAAGACACAGGTTTAGTTGAAGAAGTAAATCTAATGAAGACAGTTTACATTTAAGATACAATAGCAGAAATTACCCTGTAACTAGAAATGGAACAAATGTCACAGAAATAAATTCATTAATGATAATGTGCATTCATAACTTTATTATAGATAATTGTGACTAATGAAGAGACAAACAGAAAGAAAGTGGTCACCATAATGTCTCTGCCCCAAGTAAAGTTGTCTAGATCTTCTCTATTCTCCTTCCCACTCTTGTTTGGATGCATATATATTCAAAATATTATCTCTATTTGCAGCTCTCCCGCGTTATTTTGCAGGAGCAGTTGACCATTCCCAGTCTTATATAAAGGGCTATAAAATATTATAGATTCATGTTCCATTCTCCAAGTAACTTATCACCTCTTAGCCCATTATGTAAAAATTCTGGGGGTGTCATTGAAAAGGTACAATTTTGTATTTTACTTTTTGTTACTTACCATTTATACTGAATAGTGCTTTAATTTTCACACCTGTTATTCCATTATTTGTAACCATGTTTACCAGATCACTCCTCTATGACCACATAAATGTTGCAATTATTTCTTCTTTTCCTTCTAGTAATTCTCCAATGAGTTGGTTATTTCTGGAGCTGGGGTTGCGGGAGGGAGTTTAGAGAAAAGCATACTAAGACTCTTTAGTCATAGCAAGAAATAGTACTCTGTCTGATTTACCAAGCATCATTGTCTCCCCCAGATGGTACTTCTGCTAACTTTAGAAAGGATATTAAATGTGAAAACATGAATTAACATGTGTTGGGAGTATATAAAATATGTTCATGTATTCTTCTTCCCTATGAGCACACTTATGTTCTCTACTTTCATGAATATAAATAATTCCTCACAGCTAAATAAATGTAAAGTAAGCACTAATTTCTTTCTTTTTGATTTTGGGTGAACACAATACATTTATTTAATTACACAATTAATTAATTAATTAATTTTTATGTGGTCCTGAGGATCCAACCCAGTGCCTCACACATGCTAGGCAAGTGCTCTAGCACTGAATTACTACCTTAAGCTCAAGCACTGATTTCAATAGATAAAAATTTAAAACTCTATTATTTATTATCAGACTATTTTTCCAGGCAGCCAACAAATTTAGATTTAAAAATTTGTATTTTCACTCTTTTTGTCAAAAGCCTCCATATGTTGTCTCACACTTTTGGGATGATGCTAAGATAATTGTCTCATTATTCTTA